TCCTTTTTTTTAGGGAAAATTGTATATAATAGCAAACTAATAACCTAAATTAAATGGAATAGCTATGATTTGATTTAATTGTGCTCCATAGCAAATATTAGCTAAAATTTGCCAGCGTCTCTCTCCCGAAAATCTCGCTCGCCACTCTCCATTCTCGCTCGTCTCTCTCGCTTTATACACAGAAGTGTATAATTCTGTTTCTGTTTTGTATAAAGCGAGAGAAAATTGTATATACACATGCAAAAATATATATATTCGTGTTATACACTTAATTATACAATTTACAAACATTTTACTTCAAATATTGCAGAGAAAAAAGCCAACAAATTATACAATTGCAAATTATACAATTGCAGTGAAATACAATTTTCTCTAGCTTTATACAACAGAAGTGTATATATTGTGTTTTTTTTTGTATAAAGCGAGAAAAACATATATTTTCTTGCTATACACTTATAATTATGCAATATACATATATTTTAATTCGATTCAACTGTATGCAAAACAAATTATACAATTGCAGAGAATTATACAATTTAGGTCGGCGAATTATACAATTTAGGCTAGCGAATTATACAATTGTATATGTATAGCAAATTATACAATTTTATGTTTGCTATGGAGTGCAATTATGCAAAGTTTGCTATAGCATACAAATATGAATTTTTTATTTGCTATACGTGAAAGTTGCCTTTTTTTTTATCTACATAATTTATAAAAATTCCCTGAAAAAAATTAACTCCAAATCATTGGCCCCAAAAAAAAGAGAAGCAAAATGTCCAATTTTGGACCTCAACTATTAGATATTGCTATTTTTCTTAAAAGTAAATTTACCACTAAACAGTATCCAATGGTCTTTATTAAAACATAAGAAAAATATTAATTGGGATAATTACAAGCAAGGGGTGATAGGCCGTACCTTATTAATTCTAATGAGTACCTAATTTCTGCTATCTAATAGGAACGAAGAAAATAATAGTTAGAGAGAATCAATTATTTTCTGATCACCATTGTAACGCTTTAGGGAAAAAAAATAAATATATCGTCGAACTATCGTAAATGATATGCAAATACCCTCCGTCATACTTTAGGAACGTTGGTGCCCCTGCCGTCAAAAAACTAGAACATATATATCATTTATATTAACGGATATATACGTGTCATAATCTTATCCATCGATCCGACATCGAATCGATGGATTAGATTGTGCCACGTGTCCCTATTTAATCTTCTGTTGAAGTGAAGGGCATATACGCTATAGTTTTTGGATGGCAGAGGCACCAATGTCCCTAAAGTATGACGAATGGTATCTGCATATCATTTACGATAATTCAGGGGTATATTTGTCCATTTTCTCTACACTCTATGATGATATTACAAATAAGGATACTTAAATAATAAAAAATATGTCAATTAAGAAGAAAGTCAAATTATTAGCCTCAAACTTTTTATCACAAAAGCATGAAGTAAAAAGATTGATTGTCCATCAAAAGTAACTTGAAACATTTTTCTCTTGTCTTCTTCTTCAAACCTATCCAACAACACTTGATAATTCATACCTTCTTTATGAATTTATTATATCTAGTTGAACCTATTGATATTGTCAAATGATTTTGTTTTGCCTGTCGCATCGGTAAATGCCTTGAAACAAACTCTTCATTCAATTTATGGTCCCAACTATATTGCCTTCCATGTGTCTTCTTTTGCTTTTGTTTCTTCCACTTCTTTTTTGCCTTGGTGATATGTCCCCTTCCCTAACTACTCTATCAAAGCATATGACCAACATTGTCTTCCTCATCTTCATCAACAAAATCCTCACCCAAATCAATTGTATTTGACACTAAGACGCCTGACTCATTCTTTTTTGCTAGTACACATTTAGGCACAAATACGAAAGTTTTTGGACTTAATTTGCTATTCAAAGTAGGCGGTGAAACTTGTTTTTCTTGGATCAAATCGTTCTCATTCTCTATTAATCTTACTTGCTTTTCAGTATAAAAACATCAAAACTATTTGAACATAATAGGTCTCTTGAGGCATTATAAATATATATCTTGCCTCTTTTTACTGTCATGAAAATTCTCAATCCGACTCTTTTCATTACATGAAAAATTATTTTGACTAAATATTCCTAAAAAAATTTAATATCATTATTTTTTCAAAAGACATAATTAAAATATTTTGTGATAGGGAAAAAGAGAGGATAAGCTAGTAGTTAGGGTGGGGTGGGTGGGTAAGGGGGGGGGGTTGGATTTTTACTTATTAGGCCTACTAAGTACTAACTATGGATAAAGGAGAAAAAGTGTAACTGCAACTTAACGTGACTTAAAAAGTAGTTAAGGATTTATAATTGTTTAGATAGAGATACTAATTTTTTTTCATTTGTATTTACAAAAAAACAAAGTAATTTTCAATTATGTAAAATTTGTAACATTTGATGTTCCTAATAATTGTATCACTTGAGGTAAAAGAGAGAATTCTTTTTGACAAAATTTGAACCATTCAACTAATTTGTTATTGAATAAAATAAATTATTCTTTTCTTTGTGGGTCCTTTTTGTTTTTTTGTCTTTAAATATCAAACAAACAAACTTTTTTTCTTTGTGATCTTTCCTTCTTTTTTTTTTTGGTCAAATCATTTAAATGCATTCACAGGGTTAATATGTTATTTTAGAAATAATATTCATAAAAAAAATTATGATGCTAAAATGAGGATATATAATTCATCAATAAATATTTGAATCATTGAATTAAGTCGTACAAAATATATAATAATAAAATATAAATTCAAACTAGATAAATCATAATATATTTTTTTTATTTAATTTTATTCCAGATGTTTCCGAAGGACTTGGGAAGTTGTGGAAAGGACAAATATATCAATTTCAATTTATGAAACGATTATTTAATTAGTTAAAATTATTTAAAAAATATGTTTTATAAATTGAGACGATAAATAAAAGTCTTTTTATAACTAATACCAAACTGACTCATACAGTTATACATCAGATTAGTATTATGAGACTGAAACTTCGAACCGACCATCCACTGACTTTGTACAGCTGCTGCGTTAATGGAGCTGAGATAAAGGCCAAAAAAATAAAAAAAAAGAACCAAGTGTGAAAATACACCTAACATTAACTAGTAGAGTTTTTCTTTTTCTTCTTTGTTTTTTGGATTTAGAAGGATAGGATTAAAGAATCGTCATCATAAAGATCAATGACATTTTGGTTTGCCTCAAATTGCAAGTTTTTTTGAAATCGAGAGAGAGTTTGGCAGACACGTGGTATTTGTCTGGTTCTGTAACCCCAACCCCTTAACCCCATGATGTCCCCATTTGCCCTACTCTGTAAGTAGAGTCAAAGAAAAGAGAAGACAACACAACATAGTGGTGTGACTGGTGTCCTCCCCTTAAGTATACACACACTTTTTTGTAAAAGGGGTAGGACAGTTCTTGGCAAGATTTGATTTTTATTTGGTTTTCTTGTTTTTTTGGGGTACTTGGAGATTGATTTGGATTTGTGGGGTTAGTTGATAATTTAGGTGAGATGGGGAAGAAAAGGGGTTTGCCCAATTGGGTTCCTGATGGGTGGAAGGTGGAGGTTAGAACACGCAAAGGAAAGAAAGAAAAGGTGCTTTCTTGTTCATTCCTCTTTTCTTAATCTTATATTTGTTTTTGTTTGTATTTTGCTTGTGGGATGATAAGACTGATGCTTTGTTCTATTCATTTCTGATCTTCCATTGCAACTGTTATTCTTGGCTTAATCTGTAGTAATATTATACAAAACCACAACTTTGCTTCCCATAACTATTTACCTAATTGAGTAAATAAGGGCTACTACTTTGTTTCTTCTCCTTGTTTGATAAATGTGCAAGCTTGATGCCATGCTTCATCTGTATAGACAAACTAGGCAAAGTAATTGAACTTAGTAAGGGATATTTTGTTGTGCTGCATGCAAGCTGATCCAGACATCACTTTCAGAAAAAAAAAAAGGGGGGGGGCATGTTTTGGGAGTTAGTCTTCTTGCTCTAAACAAGGTTTTAACTGAAGAGGTGCTGGTTTGCTTTTGTGGCTGAAGTAGGTAAAGAATTCAACATGCACTTGTTTCTTGAACCTTGTAATGCCTGGATAGTATACGTATATGAAATGTCCTAGTTCTAGTGATTGGCTTAACTTTCGTATATAGCTTGTCATGCATTACTTTTCATCTCCAGCCAGTAATTGTCTCTGGCTGAAGCAATAACAGCCATGCCTCAGTTCCAAGCTAGTTAGGGTAGGCTATATGAATCTTCACTGGCTATGTTACTCCATTTAAACTCTTCTCAGGCTGTTTGTGGCTTATGACTTTCTTTAACTCCATTTTTACTTTTGAGGGGAGTGGTTGGGTAGGTGGTGGTCTTGTGGAGTCGTAGTAGTATGATATGTCAACCATTGCATGTGAAGTTTAGTGAGGCACCATTTTGACTTGGTCCTCAACTGTTGTCTCCTATATTGTAAGGATTAAATTCCCTTTGTTAGATTAAATAATGGATTGGATAACATAGTTTTATGTTCACAAGCCGCGTGTCTTGTCCTTGGAATGATGCTAGTGGTTCTCACATCTGATGCTTTTGTTTTTTCTATGTTCACAAGCCGCGTGTCTTGTGCTTGTAATGATGCTAGTGGTTCTCACAGCTGATGCTTTTGTATTTTCTATGTTCACAAGCCGCGTGTCTTGTGCTTGGGATGATGCTATTGGTTCTCACAGCTGATGCTTTTGTATTTTCTATGTTCACAAGCCACGTGTCTTGCGCTTGGAATGATGCTAGTAGTTCTCACAGCTGGTGCTTTTGTATCTTCTATGTTCACAAGCCGCGTGTCTTGTCCTTGGAATGATGCTAGGTTATCACATCTGATGCTTTTGTAGTCTCTATGTTCACAAGCCATGTCCTTGGAATGATGCTAGGTTCTCACATCTGATCCTTTGTTGTCTCTATGCTTTTATGCACAATAGTAACATATATATATATAGTAAAAAAATTCGATGAGACTGTTGCTCGACACCCCTTCACTCAACGTGGGTCCACCCTTGGGAGAGAGAGTGGTTGAAAAATGGCTTTTAAAAAAACTGTTTTTGGAAAGAGAAATGACAGTGAATCTGATGTGGATGGCTTGTCAGCTATACCTAATTGACTTAAATCTTGTTGTCTCGTGGGTGGTAACAAACTAATAATTTCACTTCGGACAATGATAGGGGGGTCATAAGATTCCTACAAGGTTCGGTGTGTAGTTAGAAAAATAGGGACAAATTAGAGGGGTTTTATGTTCCCCTATTTAAATTGTTGCTAATATTGTTTATATGTTCTTTCCCCGCAAATTCTGTCTGCTAGCATCTTATAATTGAATTTCAGCCCTCAAACTGTTTGTATATCTTAAAACCTTAGCCCCATAATCCTCAAATTTTCTTTTCCCATTCACCACATTGGTATTATGGTGCACATCTTAAAGATGTATTTAATCTAAGCTTTGATCTCTAACATTGATGTGTATTTATGTTGATTGATTCTGGTGATTTTCTATTCGTTTTTGGAAGATAAGGTCCCTATTGTGCTTTTGGTGTTTTAAGAATAAGGAGATGCCTGTGAACCTAACATTCCATTTTGTTTAAAATGTGGAGAAAACTTAAGATTCTTTGAATAGTGTGTGGCAGGAAGTCAGCGCAGATTCAGAGCCTGCTATCTTATAACCCAACTTGTAGAATTTTCCTTGTGAGGACCATTTTATCTTTGCCAAAATGGACAAACTACATACTGCAATCTGTGCTTTTAATAGAAAATACCATGTTTGGAAATTTTGCTTGAATGCGATGCCATTATAAATTCTCTTTTCCAGAAAAAGTGAAGGGAAAGGATGAGTTTTGTTTATTCATTAAGAAACTGTGTAGTCCTATAACGGCTCTACCCGTCATATCCATGCCAACCTAGTTTCCACACCACCACTTGCAGTTTTCCTTGTTGTGCTATGTCTTCTTCCTAATGCGCAGCAGCACACATTAACTGCTTCATAGTCCTGTGAGTGCTTTCTGCTCTTCCACCTTAAATCCATATATATTTTTAAGAACAGAAATGTGAAAACAATAATATGGTTATTCCTCTCCTCCTTGCTGGTTCCTAACCACTACACTGCACTTCCGTATTTCTGACTGTATCTATTGTGTTTATTGCAGTGGTATATTGATCCCTCAAAAGGACTCAAATTCTGCTCCAAGGCGGACGTTCTTCACTATCTTAGCAGTGTTGACAGTAATTGTTCTAAGAGTTCTAATACGAAGGAAATGGAGAATAAAGGCACCAATAAGGTCTTATTGGTTAATTTATATATTTTCTGCCAATGTAGTGCAACCTTCTTTTCCCCCTTTTGTGAGGGGAACCTCCTTTACATGAAGTTCTCTCCTTTCGTATTGGCCCTTACAGTTTCTCTGTTTCCCACGATATAGTGTTTTATTGAGAAGACTGCATCAGAAGGGTTGCCACCAGGATGGATTAAGGAATTGAAGGTCAGGAAAAAGGGACGCAAAATCAGGAAAGACCCGGTACTAACTCCCTCGTTTCTTTTAATATTTTAATACCTACCAGCTTAGCAATTAGCCAATTACTGGAATATGTTTCCCTGACCTCTATTTTAAGTTCAAACTTACTCCGTGGTTTCTCTTTCAGTTGCATTCTACTGGAAATATGTACTTATGTGATCACTTAATCGCCTTTGCAGTATTATATTGATCCTGTCAGTGGACAAACTTTCCGCTCTTTGAAGCAAGTTTCTCGGTTCCTTGAAACTAGAGAGCCAGGAAGGTTTGAATCCAAGCCCGATGATAAATGTCCTGACACATTAGAACTTGAAGAACCTTCTTCTTTGGTAAGTGCAAATGTCTTTCGCATGTTCATTCTCATTTACGGGTATTATCCTTTACTTTGGTGGTTAAAAGTTCATAGATAATCACAAGCTAGTAAGAATCCAAGAAACTCCTGTTTACAATGATTTCTGGTGGTAATTAGTAAGTAAAGAAAGATGGTATCAGAGAAAATTAAATTGTATGAGGAAATACACTTCAAATTACTGATTTATATCTCTGTTAGTGGAAGTGGTGGTATTTGTATTTTTTCTATAAGGTGGCCATAGAAAAGTAAGTTCTGTTCATAGCCTGCAAATCTTATTTAGACATCTATGAGCAAATTGTGATGTTGTGGATATTAGCTGATCTAACTCTGAGGGGAAGCCTCCAAAATTAGAATTGTTTTTTTCTGTCTTCTTCTCATGCTAAACGATTGTTGGTGATTTCAGATCTGTAGCATCATCTGGTCTCCTTTCCTTTATAAAACTAGCGGAGATCAGACTCTTAGTACAGTACATTCTTCATCAAATAATTTAATTTCATGACCTCCTTTTGTTATAATCATTTGAAGCCATTTGTTTGTACTCCCATTGCATACAGGGCACACTCCCACACATAAAACTCATTAGGAAGACTTCAAACCACTTAGCCATGCTTCATGTTCTCCACGGTAAATCTTGATGTACTAATCTTTTTGTTTGTTTCTGGTATTCACTAGTTTCCTGCTGAAGCTGACGAGCAGATATCACTAGACTGTGATGCATCTTGCAAGGAAGTTAATTCGAACCAGAAGCTGAAGTTGGGTGCTGAACATATGGCACATTCCAGTTGTGTAGAAGGCAGTATGTCATCCTGTGAAGGTATTGCTCACAATTGTAGACTTCTAATGTTTCTGTTTCATATGGAGTATTTAAATGCTTTATTTATGCTCTTAAATCATCTATTTATTGTAAGTTCCTTTCCATTCCTCTGATACAGATTTCCTTGTGAATTCAGAAGTAATTTGTTGCTGAAACTCTTGGGGAAATGCTTTTAATATGTTAGAATTGAAATTCATTTGATACTGCAGCCTCTAGATGGGTCAAATAGATAATTATTCATGTCATCAAAATTCAATTACAGCCTTCAAGTGATATGAAGTAGTTTATCAAAATGAGTGATTCTAATTTGGTGAGAAATATTGCAGGTTTAGGAGATGCTGTAGCAGAGAATGCGGCAGAGGAGAAAATTGATAAAGTTGTTTCAGATCCTGCTATTGAAGAACATCGAGAAAAGGACGATGATGGGGAAGTTGTCTCGAATACTGTTAGTGGAGGACATCAAGAAAAGGAGGATATTGGTAAAGTTATCTTGGCTACAGCAAGTGGAGAGCATCAAGAGGAGGATGATGATGGTAAAGTTATCTCGGCTACAGCAAGTGGAGAACATCAAGAAAAAGAGGATGATGGTAAAGTTGTCTCGAAAACTGTAAATGGAGAAAATCAAGACAAGCCATCACTAGACGGAGTGGAAAAGCATGACCAGAAAACATTTCAACGGAAAAGAAAAAAGGGTATGAACATGCCTAGCAGAGCATCAAAACGGCTTGCTGGTATTAAAGCTGATACATCTCTTAAGCTCCAAACAAATGATCAAACCCAGCTAACTTCAGTTAGACAGCAGGAGGGGACACAAGCTGCCACCTCCGATAACCCTTTGAATTTTACTAATACCAGTAAGCATGTTGCAAGTACAGTAACTGGTATAACCATCAACAAGAAGGTAGAAACTGGGAATCTGACCATTAAAAGGAAACAACATCTTGTTACTTCACCACAAACGGAGGGAGAGAAGAAGCCTTCTCCAGCTGAACCTGCAAAAACTGTCCTTGCTAGCTGTGATGTCGATAAGAAAGGTGAAACAGCTCTTGAATCATCTTTAAGTGATCTTTGGACGGACCCGTGCATAGAATTTGCTATAAAAACTCTAACCGGTACAATTCCAGTCATAAACGAAAAGAAACTGGATGAGATCCCGGGTTCTAGTTCTAGCAAGCCCTCTGTTAATACTCCTTCCTCTGTGGGCTTACCTTCTGATGAAATATGGGCAGATCCTTGCTTCATGTTTGCTGTCAAGACTCTTACTGGTGAAATACCGATAGGGGACGAGTTATGCTCTCAGAAGATAGTCCAGCAGCAATGCACTTCATCACCAAACATCAGATTTGAAGAGTTTGGCCAGGCTAATCTACCGCGCTATGCAGCACCAGAAATGTCTTCATACAAGCAACAGCCTGCAGTAGCCCCTAATGCATACCAGAATCGTTGGTTCGCTAAATTCGGTTCTCATCGGCCTTCACCACTTTGTTAAGAATGATCATATGGTAGATTGTAACTTAATGTTAGGAAGTTCAGCCTAGCTTGTAGTAGTATATCATTATATAAACTAAAGTGCCTGAGCTAACACAGGCTCAAATTTTTAAGCAGTAAAAACTATAATGTAAAAACATTAATCACATCTGTGTAATTTTTGTCGTAAAACACTTATATAATATAAATTTGAAAACTTTTTCAACTGAATAAATTGTTACCTAAGCTATCAAAATTATTCTAAAAAATATTTAAAAATAAAATTAGCACTTCACTTCATTGAATATGCTAATTAGAGTATCATCTTATTAACTTATATATAATATATTATAGTGGTTGTTACATTACCTAATACTTTTAATTACACAAATTAAGCTAGCGTTTGGCCATAGATATTCAAATATTTTTGGCAAATATTATTTGGATGAAAATTTGGGTGAAATTTTACCATGTGTTTGGCCATAGAATTTGAGAAACATATTTCATTTTTTTAAGAAATATGATTTATACCCATAAGTTTTAAAAACTATCAAACTAACCATAAATTTGTATTACATAGCACAATAGAAATCTCACGTAACAAGATTTATGACTTCCGCAACAAATCAACAAGAATCATTACAGTAAATATTCGTAGAGTGAAAAGGTCTTGGTACAAAGCATGATAATGAAAATACAACTAATATAAATTCGGAGAAAAAAAGAGAAGAAAACAAAAGGAAATAAATATTGCAATCACTGAAGAACATATGTTTTCTCATCTGAAAGAGTTCAACCTATTCTTTAATATAATCTTCCCACATTTTATGAACAATCTCTTCTCGATGAACTTACATTTTCGAATCAGACGATCGAGAAGATGAAGCGATGTTGTTACCCTGAGCCAGTAGTTCGTCACTTTCATCAACAACCATATCATCATTTTCATTTTCATTGAATATTCCATCACTACTTTGGTGTTCATATAAAAAATTATGCAATACAGCGCAAGCAATTACTATTTTCACTTGCATGTCACATTCATAGTTGTTCATGCCTTGTCTTAGTATTCTTAATCTACTTTTCCATGCACCGAAAGTTCTTTCAATTACATTGCGCAGAGAAGTATGTTTATAGTTAAATAGCTCTTTTCCATTCTTAGGCTCTCTTTCACTTCCTCGGTAGTCCTGCAAATGATAGCACATTCCAATGAATAGAGCTAAAAATCCTCTTGTGTTCCGTAGACCAGCATCAACAACATAATATTTATCTACCAAAATAAAATAAATGCAATTCATGTTTTATTTAGTAGCTAGTTCATTAAGACTAATTGTAATAAAGGAATGTATGAAATCAAAAGAATGCATGTAGAAGGGAGCTAATTGAATTGGTTGGTGTCAATAAATATATTATTTTTGTAAAATAAAAAGTGAAGGGTAAAAATTGAATTTCTAAAACTTTCCAAATAATGAAATTTGGCCCAAATACTAGTTTTTTCTAGTATTTGGGAATTTGGAAAATTTGCCCAAAAAATTTGCCAAATAATAAAAAAGTGTATGGACAAACAAAATTTGCCAAGTTTTTTCTCAAGTTTTAATTGCAAAATTTATGGCCAAACGGGCCCTAAGATTACGGTGTTTGTTACCTTACCTTCAAAGTTAAGACAATATTTTTAATAATTTAATTAGTTTAAGCAAATAATCTTATAAAGTCAATATTAAAACATGATTGATTTAGATTGAAATGAATTAGACAAAGAAATAAAAAATAACTCTGAATTTAATTTTACTTGCATTAACAAAATTTTAAATAATAATTAGCAATAAACTTTAATCAGTAGTGTAAGAGATTAGCAATAAATTTTAATTAGCAGTAACGATAAATATAGTATTAATATATTAATATTCTACCCGGTATTTTGTTCGGTGCTCCTCACAATGGGCTTCATGAGATCTGTTCGTCTCTTTTATGTATGTATGTATCTTCTTCGTTTAATCTTGCTTTTGGACGAATTTATTTCTTTGTTGTGCATATTCTGTGGATTTTTGTATTTGAGCGAACTGAATTTGGGGGTTTTTGGGCCCTAAAGCCACTGCTTTAGTGGCTGTAGGGTTGAGCCGCCCTCGAGGTGTATCGGAAACAGCCTCTTTGCCTACCTAAGGTCTGTGTGCGCTGTATCTTCTTGTGGATTAGTCTGTATGATGTTGTTGTTGATTATCTCAATAAGCATGTCGATTTATCATAACCTATGCAGTCTCCAGGCACTTATCATCCTTACACCTTCCAGATGATGAAAAATATTTACTTTAATCTATTAAAAACTGAGCAATTTGTGTAAATGGAGTGTAAATGTTTGTCCAAGTAGAAATTCTCAGGGGTCTTTTGGAACCTGCCATGATATTGTCTACAATGAATTCTTCTGCGTGTTTGACATGTTTATTTTCTTCTTATGTTGGTTCAGGGTAACCAGTTTAACTGCAACTGCTCGAAGGATTGAGTTACATTGAGAAAATGAAGTAATGTCTCTTCCTGTTCTGTGAATTCAGTTTATATCTTGGGCTTGCTTAAACTCAGATTTCAGTTTCTAATGAATGCCACATAGACAAGATTGAGAAAAGAAATACTGTATGCACGTATTAATTTACTGTAAGTAGACTGAATGTGCATGCTTTCTCCTGTATATGTGTTCCATGACATGTTTAATACCTTGAGTTATACTTTACCTGATCACAAGAATAAAAAATGGTTACCTTGATATATTATTGCAAGCTCAGTTATTTTTGGGTATGCATTGGTGCTAATGTTGTGTTCTCATCATGATTTTAATTTTTGTTTTATCTGTTCTTTTGAAAAAACCGGACCTATATTGGTCTGCCTGCGGTATGAGTATGGTTAGCAATGAAAATTTAATCGCTTCGAACATTTTCTGTTGGTGTAGAAGAGGACATGTAAAGTGGGATGAGGCAAATTTGGGAGAAATTGAGGCAAATAAACCGGTGAGGCAGAAAATTACTGAACCAAAGACACCATATCACCGCATGATTGATGATGATGGTATGTTCATGAAATTGACTCTTCTTTTTCTGTCTGTTTGTCTTAGTTCTGAATCTTTTGTCTCATGCAAGCTTCTTACATTGATCAAATAATGTGGTGATGAGCCCCGAATTGTCATTTTCTGCCTTTCATATGCCTATCCGTCTCTATTTAATAGCATTTAATGCCTAGCAGGCTTATAGATAGATGAAACATGATTAATGTAATAACCCAGTTTTATACACTTTTTTGTCTTCTTTTTCTTCTTTTTTCTATTTTTCTTACCCTGATGATTTATGCACTTGTTCCTTTTTTGAATAACAAAGAAATCCTTTGAGGGATAATGGCACACGGTTCCTTTTTCCCAACTATGTACTCTTTTCTACTTAAATACTAGGCTTTGTATGCGACGGGGTTCAAACCCATGACATGTGCCTAACAAATCACACATCACACATCGTGCTCTTACCACTAGACCAAAGCCCAACAGAAATATACCCATTATAATCCCACAATTGGGGGCTGGGGAGGATAGGATGTATGTAGACCTTACCTCTACCTTTGTGGGGCACTAGGCCAAAGCCCCTGGGGGATGATTTATGCGCGTACTGATCTTCTTTTCTTCCCTTTCTAGATTAGTTTCCATGAGAGGGATGATTTGTGTGGAAACATTTTAAGAAGTCAATTTGCTTCATCAATTCTTTTCTATTAAGAAGGGAAAACGGTCTGATATACTCCTCAACTTTGTCAGTTAGAGATGATATATCCCTCGTTATGAAAGTGACTCATATATACCCTTATCGATATACAAACGACTCACATATACCCCTGCCGTTACAAAATGAGCTCACATATACCCTTCATTTAACGGAAGTTAAAAATTAGTTTTAAGTTTATATTTTTTACTTTTAATTTTTTTTAAAAATTATTTAGGGGTATATATGATTCTTGTATCAAAGTTCAAGGTATATTTTAATTTTTTTCATACATGACTTATTTTTTGACTTCTTTTATTATAATTATTTGAGTTTCTTATTCTCATTTTTTTTCTTTCATTCCTTAGTTTTAAAGAAAAAAATTAAAACTATTTTTTTGTCTATATTTTATTTGATTTTTGTATTCTAAGAAAAACTTTTGGTCATCTACAATAAGTTTTAAAGAATATTAGTGAAACATAAACAAATTTGATTATCAAAATAATAATTCTAAATTAGTAATTAAAACAAAAAAAAAGTAAAAAAAAATATGTTTGACGAGGATTAAATTTACTCATATGGGATTATATTTTTTAGAAAAAAATAATAAAAAATTAGATTAAAATTATTATTTTTTTCATTTCCGTTTGAGGAGAAGGGTATATGTGAGCCATTTGTTTATAAGTAGGGGTATATATGAGTCACTTTCTTTAACAAGGGGTATATCAGCTCTAAATGACAAAGTTAAGGGGTATATCAGACCTTTTTCCTATTATGAATTAAACTTATTTGGATCATTTGGTAGTACTTCTGTAAACATCCTAAAAGTTTCTTTACATGGTGCTTATACGATTTAAATGTTTTTGTGATGCTACTGGTGCATTTTATATTTCTGTTTAATTTGATTCTCTGAAGTTTCTTACATGGGGCCAAACCTTCTATAATCTTTTGGTGGTGGAATACAAGAGTTAATACCCTTATGTTTGGGTATTTGAAGTCTTAGGGTCTGCTTCTAATAATGGCACTGATGCTTAATTTATTATTATGTACGAGAAAATTTGATTATCCAAAAGCTCCAAAAATTTCTTGAATAATTGATCTTCCAAGTAAGATTTCCGCGACTTCATCAGACACAGACATTCTGGTATTTTTTCCTTTATTAGAGTTTAATGCTCGATAGTTTATACAGTTCCTATCCTGGCACTAAGAGAATTACTGGGCACTATAATGGCATTGCGTGATTTTATTTCTCTTTACTCCTCTGTAATTCCAGTTCTTTTGCATTTGCAAGGGTCTCATTTGATATGAGTTAAGACATGATGTAGTTACTCTATCTAATTGAATTTATTAAGCAGATAGGGTTTTCTCTGTTTCTTGTTCGACTTGGGCCACATTTATCAGAAAACATGTTTCGAACTCCATTTTTAGGTTAAATATTTGGATACAAATGATGGAGTTTCACCCATTTCTTTTTACAAATTTAGCCTCCAAAAAAAGA